TTTAATATTCACACACGTACCTACGTGATTTCAGGTTCTTCAAAAAATATATTGTATATTATGGTAAAATAGTAAATAATACCTAATATTCAACAGTAATCTAAATTTATAATAATGTTTGCTTTTTAACAGACAAGTGTGTATTGAGGATATTTTAATATTAATATTTAATATACCGTGTGTTCACTAATTAGTAATTTATGGAACACTGAATTTCTCAGCCGGATTATGTTGGAACAAATATAATTTTTTTTACAAGCTAGTGGTACCTACTGGTACATAAATACACATTTTCAGATAAATTTCAAATTCTTAACTCTCTTGGTACGCGCAACGCAACTTATTTTTTTCTATAGCAACCGATATTTTTGAATACCTAACAACCTAATAACCTACCAAATTCGGATAGACTGAATTTTTTTAAGTCATTTTGACCAATGAACCATGATTCTAAAACCAAAATTGTCTGAATGAGCCATTCAAATTTTAATAAATATACATTTTTTAAATTCATTCAAAAATGCATAAAACCATTTATAATTATTTATTATTGGTTACATTTTGAATATTTTTATGTATTTTTTTTTTAAATAATACTTGTTATAAATAAGATTAACATACTTATCTAATATGGATATAAAATTATTCAATTAAAATTGATTACAACTGTATACGTAAGAATATTCAAAAAGTAACCAATAATAAATAATTAAAAATGGTTTTATGCATTTTATGATGAATTCTAAAAATKTATTAGGTATTTATTAAAATTTGAATGACTCTCATTCAGTCAATATTGGTTTAGAGCCATGGGTAATTGGTTGAAATGACTTAAAAAAATTTAGTSTATCCGAATTTGGTATCAAAAATACCGGTTGCTATTRAAAAAATAAAAATAAGTTGCGTTGCGCATGCGCGTACCGAGAGGGTTAACAATTTGAAATTTATCTGAAAATGTGTATTTATGTACCACTATAAGCTTGTAAAAAAAAATTCGATTTATTCCAACATAATTCGGCCGATAAATTCAGTGTTCCCTAAATTAGTGAACACGCGGTAGGTATATCCTGTCTACTTATATAATTTACTAATTATTAATATCATAATACCATAATATTGAATACCTTGATAGTCTAACTATCGCAACGACTTTAGTTATTACGTACATTATAATATTACAAAAGTAATAAACTGAAATCTAGGTACACATGGATAAATAGATATACCATTTATTATTATAGTTGTATATTATAGGTATAAATAAATTTAAAATAAAAAATTGGTAATGTAATACTTACACAGAAAAATATGCGCAAATCTGCTGTGYCGCGTGACTGTCGAAGAGTTTAAAAAATACAACGGACAATAGCCAATGCCCAATAGTTCACTGAAKACGCGATGAAGGCAATGATTAGTGAATGCAGTCACTGGAGAGTGTATAGTGTATGCAGTAGTCGTCTAGTGTACGATTAAGAGCTATTTTGAATATTTGAAGTAATGTGGTGGTAGTAATTTTGTTATTGTTAATTTGTTGATAAAACACGCCCACCCAATCAACGGTTTAAAATTATTATAATATTATCAGTCCAGTCACAGATTCTATACAGTTATAAATCGAAAATTCCCATTATAAGGATAATATCCCTGACATATTAATATACTATCTACATTCTTAGCGTGTGTGTGGACAATTATTATGCTTAAAATACGCGCATGCGTGTGCGATCATACATTTTTAACGAGTATAATAATCATTTAATAATATAGTTCTGTGATATTTCCTCTTGCGACCGTATTGAGAATTATGTTGTTCCAAAACCAAGAGTGATATTATGCTGGTTTTTACAGCATGTCCTGACTCCCGGCGTCCCGGCCGGTAATTAATTTTGTCCCAGCTTATGGAAGACAAGAGAAAATAACTTTAATATTATTTTGTTTAATAATAAAACATAGAATAATATTATACATAGAATTTGGGTTTAATTTGTAATGAATTTTATTTAAAAATTAAAAGTAATACAACTGTATTGAAAACAATTCATTCAACCGAAAACTATGAATATTAGAGGTTATTAATAACAATTAATAAATGTAATTAATGCAGTAAAATATGTAGTTTATGTAAAAAATCGTATTGGTTAATACATTTTTTAATTAAAACATGGGATATTATTAATTCCCGTATAATTATACAAAAATAAGTTTTTACAATTTTTTATTAGCTTCTAGTATTAAACTATGATAGCTCAACAATTACAATTGATCATGATAATAAACAAATTATACGAAAAAAAAGATTATTCTATATCATGTCCCGGTTTGGTATTTTTAAAATCTGGCAACCCTAGCGAACAGTGACCATCGCCACTGTATAAGAAAAATATCTTTAGTAACACATTATAGGTACATATTTAGAATTAAAGAAATCAAAATATTCGGGGAGGGGCCCTTATTACCGTCTCGATTATATATATACATAAATAAATATATTTCATGTCATCCATATAAAAAATATAAGTACCTACTTTCATAGTTCTACACATTTATGTTATGTTTTGTATTACGAATTTTTTCTTCTGAATAATAAACATACCAAATTATATGAAAATAATTTTGATTTACTTTCCACACCCGTTCGTGTTTAGAAGTCAGAATAATATAATAGTTTACTATAAATTCATGCACGTCAATTAATATGATTACATATAGATAAGTAAACATATAAATCTCTAATCTGTGTTTACATTAATTGTAACTATAAGCCATTAACATATTATTATATTATACGTAGATCTATTAAAATAGGAATCTTTAAGTAAAATTCTTTCTTTCACTGAATCATAGATTTATATGATTTTTTCGGTATGACTTAATCTATAGTTTTAAAAAATTTAATGAATTATGGGTTACAAAATAAAATCGTTTAAAATATATATTTAAAAAATATGTCACATAATCATATATTATACTGAAATTCATATTTCAATTAATAAATTTAATTTATGCAAGGTAGTCATCTATTTTCAGTTTTCACATACCAAAGCTACAATATAACAGTCATAATATAGTAACACACAATTAATT